ACGTAAGGAAGTATTTTTTATTGGTTGAGTATATGTCTATGTGTAGTATTTCGCCCACATAGGAAGGTATGGGTGTTTCTCCAAGTATTTGTTTTTGTGGGTGACGATTGTACTTAGCTGTTTTACAAATTTTACAATTTGAAACAACTTCGTTCGTTAATTTTGTCATTTTCGGAAAAAAATAGTCTTGTAAAATCTGCTTCACATTTTCTTGGGCTGCTCTGTGAGCCCGATTGTGTTCTGTTGCAATTATTTCTTTCTGTTCGTTTTTATCAAAAATGTCATTTACTATGTACTTTGTATATCGAAATGTTGTTGTTGGAAAAGTTTCTATTAGTTTATGTTGTATGAATGCTAATATTGGTAACTCGCAATGGATTGCATTTACGACATCTTTTTGACTACATCGCAAACTCTTTTGATTAACGAGTCTCTGTTTGAGAAATGAATTGTATGTCGGATTTTCTTACCAAATAGGATAACTGTACGATCAGAGGCTATATTATTTTCTTCTATTATAATTTGGTTTTGGAAACAGTTGATTGGTTTGTCTGTTGTGTCTATGGTGTATGTGAGCGATATTTCGCTGTGAATTGTGGCTCTGTCTGACTGTACATCGTCCTCTAGGGCATGAATATTATGCCGTGACAGTGCGTCCGCAACGTAGTTCTCCTTCCCTGGCTTGTAATAGATGTTTGCGTTATATTCATCTATAAAAGCTTTCCAACGCCTGATTTTTGCGTTCGGGTTTCGGTCGGATACTGCAAACGTCAGAGGCTGATGGTCCGTAAAGATATTTAAATTTTTTACCCCATATAGATAATTTCGGAGGTTTTTTAAAGCCCAAACTATTGCAAGTAGTTCCCTCTCATTTGTTGCAAAGATAAGCTCTCTATCCTTTAATGTTCTTGATATCATGGTGATTGGTTTTCCACCTTGTGACAGAACTGCCCCAAGACCAGAGGATGAAGCGTCCGTTGTTAAATCAAACGGCTTCTTGTAGTCAGGGTAGAGCAACATTACATTTTCGGATGCAAGAACCTCTTTTAGCTTCTCGAATGCCGCATGTTGACTCTCGTCAAATTTTACTGGAATTTTTTTGGATTGTCCGGCGCTCACTTTGCCATTTTGGCCTTTTAAGATGTCGCTTATAGGTTTTGCTATAGACGCGAAGTCCTTGATGAAACACCTATAGTAGCTTGCCAACCCAAGGAATGATCTGACGTTAAACAAAGTTGTTGGTACTTCATAGTTACGAATCGCTTCAACTTTACTTGGACATGTCTTTATACCATTACTTGAGACTACGAAACCTAGGTATTCTACACTTTCTTTGAAAAAGTGCGACTTTTCTGGTGAAACTCTCATGTTGGCCTCGTATAGTTTATCTAGGACCCAGGCGATATGCTTGACATGGCTTTCCATATTTTCAGAAAAAATGATTACGTCGTCTACGTAAACATAACAAGATTTTCCAATTTGCTCTCTGAGCACATCGTCAATGGCTCTCTGAAAAATACTAGGTGCATTTTTCAAGCCAAAGGGAGCCTGCAGAACTCATACTTTCCGCTTCCTACAGAAAAGGCTGTTTTTTCTCTATCTTTTTCGGCAAGTAAAATCTGGTGGAATCCGGATTTTAAATCTAGTGTTGTAAAGTACTTTGCTGTGCCTAAGTTGGATAAAATGGAGGCTATATTGGGAATGGGGTATTTGTCATCTATTGTCTTTTTGTTTAGTTTTCTGAAGTCTATAACTAAACGTTTCTTTTTTCTTCCCTGCTCGTCGGTACCTTTTTTATCTACAACCCACACGGGGTTATTGTATGGTGACTGGGACGGACGTATTATACCGTTTTCTAACAGATCTTGAGTTTCTGTGTTTACGAATTCTGATACGCCCATTGGGTATGGATATAATTTTGAATAAATGGGATTCTCGTCCTCTGTTCTAATAGTTGCAATGACATTTGTATTATACGGAAGCGCTTCATTTGGTTCCGCAAATACTCCTGCTCGGGCTTTGAGCATTGTTTGAAATTCCGTTGTTATAGCCTGAGGGGCTTCTATTTCTTTGACACTTGTGAAATTTACGGCTGGGCATTTTAGAAAGTTAATGGTCTCAGAACCATAGTTTGTTGTTAGTTTCTTATTTTTGAAGTCTAATAAAACGTTGGTTTGGTTTAGTAGGTCAAGTCCGATTATACCATCGAATGTCGTGAGGTTTGGTAATAAGAAAAATGTTGTCTTGGTATTAAAAAGGTGCATTATGCATTTCTTGTCAACTACGTTGTGGCCATGGATTGATTTTAATCGAAAGGGTTTTTCTACCGGCGTAATATTTTTAGTTCTTTTAATGGTCTCACGTAATTCTTTGAGGCTCCGGTATCTATTAGCAACTTTATGGTTTTCCCTGCTATCGTTCTCTCTATGAACGGGAGCAGGGATTTATTCCTAAAAAATTGACCTGGTCGTATTCGTCCAATTCATTGTCAACGTCTTCTGTCTCGGTTTCTGCGATCGCTTGGTATTCGCTATTGTCCTGCTCGTATTCTGTATCTTCTGTTCCTAGGTGGTTAACTCTTTGCTGTTTCGGTCCTGTGAACCGTGCGCTACCGCTGTTTGGTCGTTTGTTTGCCTGTCCCTGGTTATTGTAGTTTTCGTATTGAGTGCGTCGTTGTTGATTTGGCCACTGAGTCTGTTTCGAGAAGGTCGCGTTTTGTTGGTGTTGCGTAGCCTGTCTGAAGCGAGAAGATGAGTCAACGTCCATTGGTTCTACCTGTTCTTGTCGTGGTGAGAATTCTGGTCTTTTGTAGTGTGGGCTTTTTCCTGGTTGGTTGTGTTTTGGGTCTTGAGCTAGAGTCTTGTCTCTGACTTGCTGTCTTTGTTCGATCTTCTGCGCTTTTTCTTCTATACTGCGGGCGAAATTTGTGGCGAACATATAACGTTCATGATTTGACTCAACTTCTTGAGCCAATGCCAATGCAGAGGGAAGATCAATTGGTCTAGCTGAGAATAGGACATCACTTAAGGCCTTCCTGGTTCCTGAGATGAATACTCGCAGGGCGTCTGCTCTATATTTCTCATTTAGCGAAGAGGCAACGGTGGTGTCGTAGGTCATGATTGTCTTATTTATAAGTAAAGTCAGTTTCTTTTCTACCTCGTCGTAGTACTGCAGTAGTGTCAAATTTCCTTGGCGGAGTGTTGACATCTCCTGTTCAATTAAGTATATCGGTCGTTTGTCGGAGTACGTGAAATCTAACCGATTTATAATGGCCTTAAAATTTAGAGGAGTGTCGAAAGAAGAGAGTACCATATCAGCAGCGTTCTTAATTTTGTTTCTTAATATTCCCAAAGCTTGATAATGCTTTGAGCTACCATCGTATTTCTCATATACCTTGTATGCGATATGCGCAGCCTTTCTCCAAGATACATAAGTTTCGCTTTTTTCCTTCAAAGTCCGGGAGGGACTTCATGATGTCAAGGGTTTCGTTGCAAATAACACCTATTTTGATTTCTGCCTCCTTGAAAGTTTCTACCTCGGGTGCGCTAACCTGTACTGAATTTATACGTTGTTCAATTTCGTTTAATTTTCTATCAAAGCTATCTTTTTGAGCAGCTAAAGCGCTTGCGACTGCGCCTTCTACTATAGCTTTTAATTGATCTGAATTCAAAGCCATTTTTAAATTTTCTGTGTTGTAAATTTTTCGAAAATTTGTTATTAAATCTTGTATTTCACTATCACTCATAGGGCAAGTAAAGACAGGGAATTTTGCGTGCTGCGTTTTTTGTTATTAATAATTAATATTTAAAGGTTGAAATTGTATTTTTATTTGTTTTTACTCCTTAATTTCTTTTTTTGCAATGAACACTCTACTCACATGTTCTTATATTATGTTAGTAGACTGTATGTTGTGTGTTTCTTCGCTGATGAGCCGCTTCGTGGTGGGTGTCTTCGCTGCGTACTGCTTCGTCTAATGCTGCTTTCTTTTTTTCTTTTTTCGTTTTGGTTATGCGTTTTAGTTGTCTTGCTGTTTTTTTTTGCACTTGTGGGGTATTTATCTCACTGAATGCTTGTTTTAATCGAAGTTTTAATTTCGTTTTTTTTTTTTTGTTTTTGGGTTCGTTTCGGTTGGGCGCCAATTAAGCTTTTTTGCTGTAGTTGTTAGATGTTAGTGTGCGGTGTTGCACAAAATGAGTAGACTTCAATAATCCCGTGGCGACGACCGACGTTCTTTATTATCAAAAATCAACTAAAGTACAGTGACATAAATTCTTATATCCAAAGCTAGCCCTAAACCCTGATTATGCTGACATTGCATATTTACGCGAGGCATCGCATTACTTCGGGCAACAACATTGTTGCGCGTTGGAGCCACTGCTGCTGTTGTGCAATATCCGCTGGGAACGGCTACATTCATGCTGACGGCGCGTGATCAATCTGAACATTTATGTTTTGCTGGTCGATTGTGTTAACTTAGACAATTTTCAATAGAATCTTATCTCCCTTCTTTTCTCAATTTTTTTCCTACTAAATTTTAATAATTTTTTTCTATATAATCTAATTGTGAACTGCGGCCGTCGGTAAATGTTCCAGGGAACTATAACTACACGCTCACATATACACCTAAATAAACACACTCCTACAATATGCTACTCTGCATGTCTGTCTGGCCATATTTTTGAATAATGTGCGATGATGTCGTGTCTATAAAGCGGCATTAAAATCCATTAGCAAACGCGGCGCATAAATAAAAACCGCGTTGCCTTAATTTCCCCGCTGCAATCTGGCTATAGCCAAAAATAGCCAAATGGAGACTAAACAAATGAGGCTAATAAATAAACGAGAGGGAGAGAGAGAGAGCAAGAGGGCGCAAGACTTTGTTGCACTTCCACAAAGGATTTGTGCAAATGGCCGGAAATGAAGGCCAGGTCTGGCCTTCAAAAAGATAGACGAGGCGGAGTTGGAGCAGAAATGTTGCAATATGCAGAGTGAAAACTTACCCTTGAGTGCGGCAACTAGTGTTAATCCATTTAATCCAGCCAAAACGAGCAGCAGCGGTTGCAGCAGTTGCAACAATGCAACAAACTGACGCATCTTTGCGCTCTCTAATTTTAGATGCGTCGGCGACGTTCTGGCGACATTTTGATTGTTTCTATTTTCCTCCTCTGACTGTTTGATCTTTTTGATTTTATTTTTATTCTGTAAGCCAAATGCGTGAGCACACATTTCATTTGAATGCATTTTGTCAAGAATTTTTCGGGTTGTTTTTCTAACTTCTATAGAATTCACTATTTCTTAGATTTTTGTCGTTTCACTTTGCTCGATTTTTCACTTATATTTCACTCGTTTTTATAATTTGTTTATTCTAAGCCATGGCGCTACGAACCGGAAACCGGAAACCGCGTGCAGCCAATGACGTTCGCCCGTTACGCACGACAATTCGCGCTGCCGACGATACGAACTACAAATTTTCCGTTTAACATGCGAAATTCGACGAAACGAACGTAACGCAACGTAACGTAAGGCAGCGCACGAAACCGCTCGCACAACCGAAGCGCCCGAGTACCAGCAGCAAATTGAATCCGTCTAGCAACATTTTCAGCGTTTCGGCCTGTTAAGCTACCAGCGCACGTTCCACACACAATCCACACAGCACCTCGACTGGCACTGTTAACAGAGCATCTTACTCCCTCAACTGTGTGTGGTTGGCTATGCATGTGTGTGTCTCTGCACTGTTAAAATACTCAATTCTGTGTGTGTGTTGTTTTTGTTCTTGCTGTTAAACTTGTTGCATGCTGTGGATGTTAGCTGTTTTGGCTTTACATGCGCTTTGTTTACATCTGCAGCGGCTTGCTTTGTTTTGTTTCGCTGTGCCGCTTCGTTCCACCGCAATGTTCAGCAACATTCTAATGTTGCCAAGCGTGTTTAATGGCAACATTTGCTTTGCTTTGCAATTAATTGTGTAGAACATTTAAATAAATCTAATTTTTATTATGAGGGAACATGTCTATACATAGCGTATGTCTTGTTGTCGCTTTTGTCTCTATTTTTTATAGCTCATAAAAATATAATACGGTAAAAATCACGAACATGCTCTAGTAATTCTTTTAATTAGATGGGTAATTAATTTTTGAATTTTATTTTTTATTTTTTGCCTGATATATAGTTTTTTACTGATACGAAGAGATGATGGGTGCATATTTTTATTTTAAAATGTGAAATATATGTACATCCGGTAGTTTCTGCACATTCTAAAATTTTACTTTTCCAACACTATATTTTATTCCAAGTTTTATTTAATTTTCAATTTATGGACTATTTGCATATCTTCTGAAGGCGTTGAATTGTGCGTTCGTTAAAACTTTAAACATGTAAGAATCTTGAGCTTGTCATGTATTTTTCTTGTTCTCCATTCTTTTTTTCGATTCTCCAGTTGTTCGCACATTTAAAGAGCTCTATTCAAAAATAGAAGTGAGTTAATAATGTTGACCATTTGCTATCTAATCTGAACGAGTGCCGCACTCGCTCTCCAGCTGTTAGCTCATCCATTTCCAAAGTGCAATAAAAAAAAAAAAAACGTTTGAAGACATTTCACAACAGAATTTTAGGTTTTTAGATATCAAGAGGGAGAGAGAGGGATAGAGAGTGGGAGAGGGAGCTGCATATTATTTTTATATCGGCGTCCGTTAGAAGCCGCTAATGAATTTTCAAAATCAATTGAATGGACATAGATATTGTATTAATTTATCAAAGTGCATAACCCAAACCCCAAGCCCCAAAAAAAAACGAGACGTTTTATAAATCGCTGCCTAATTTCCCAAGCGTTAGTTAAATAATCAATAACTGAATAACCGACCTCTCCCCCTCTCTCTCTCCCTCTCTCTCTCTCTTCTGTCTACCTTTCCTGGAGTGTGAACTGAGTTCATTAATGCAGCTCAGCTCGAGAGATACAGATACATTTACGAAAAGTGTAAAATAAAGGTGTGTATCTTTTATATAGAAAATTGTGCGTGCATTCAGGTCCAGTCAGGTATTCGGGATAGGGCCAAAGGCAGAGAGCGGGAGGGGGGCAGGTGTTGTGGCAACAACAATGCGCATTGTCTTCACCGTAAAAGGTCACAAGTGCGTACAATGCACGTAGCCCGGCGGGCCGCAGGTAGAGCGAGTGCATCGAATGCAAACGTTCAGGTAAAACATATTTCAAATGGCCGATAATTGGCCAATTTACAGCGCACCGCTGCGCCGTTGCCGCACTTCACAGAGCGCTGCAAACGGGCAACGTTGCATGCAAATGAGAAATAGTTTCATGCGAATTGAAGGCGGAGAAGAGCGAATATTTCGATTGGAATGAAGATATTTGAAAATTGCGCTGTTGCCGTATTTCAATAAGCACTGAAAACTGACAACGTCGCTCTTTTTAGAATAGTTTAACAAAGTTGATGAAAATAAATAATAATAAATTATAAAAATAACTGTAACATTATTTATTTATTTCATCTTCGTTAAGATAGCCAATATTATATATTAATACGTATAATCGAAATATAAACGAAATCGAAATACTTTACAGTTCTGAAACTGGGTAAGTTATTAGAAATAAAGCGCCGTTGCCACACTTCACTTTGTGCCTCTACTGAAGTTTGGCAACGTTGAATACCTTGTCTAAGCATTCACCTGCCTTAAATATGGATTAGCACTATGCTTTATAACTTAACAGCGCTGTTGTCGCACTTCACCAAGTCCTCTGCCCGAACTTTGGCAACATCGCTCGGAGTTGGCTCTGGCAAAATATTTTGCTGGCTTAAGGGACGATTTAAATGTAGTTGTCAAAGTCGCAACTTGTCACATTGTTATTTGACTGACTGTCTCTGACTATCTCTCTCTCTCTATCCCTCTCTCTCTCTGTTTCAGACTGTGTGTCTTGTCTGCTGCGCCTAAGCCCTTGTTAATGACATGTAAGTTGCGTCTCAATTGCGGATTTTCTTAGCTTACGAATTGAAATGACATTTTGATTGTCAGCCAAAGTTCATTCTTACACTTCAGTTGAATATATATAGATATCTATGTACATTTATAAAATGAGTTTTTATTTAACACGACATTTACTTTTCGTAATTAATTTGTGCTCGTCGGCTAATATGCCAATCAAAACAGACTCAAATGGCTGCGCGAGGTTTTTGTTTTCATTTGGGATAATAGAGGCTAATAGATATAAATAATAAATAAAGGCCAAGAGCTTGTTTCTCACTTTGTTTTAATTGAGTTCCGCAAGCTGATTCGTCTGGCATATGATTGCTTTAACAAGCAGAGCCGAAAAGTTTTGGTTTTATATAGCACTTGAATACAATATATTACAATGTGCGATTAACTGTCAATCTCATTTCATTATATTAATAATAAGAATTCATATTGTTTACACTAAAATTTTTATTTTAAATATAAAATAAATTTTTTTAATTACATTTTTTTAAGCTTCACATTCACTACAAAATAAATAACATTAAATATTGACTAAGTTTTTGTATATTAATTCCTAATTAAATTCACATTTATTTCATTAAATTATATATAAAAAAAATATAAGTAAAATATTAAATCAATTTTATAATAGTAATATAGATATTATATATTTATATATTAAGATGAATTTTAATTTTTTCATTTCATTTTCATTCTAAATCTCAAAATTTGTTTTCCTACTTATTTTTATATACATAAATTTTTTTCTTATTGTAATTTTAATTTTTGTATTTGGTATGACATTATATCTTTTATTCTTATTATTACATTTATTTTAATATTATTATAATTTTTTTTTTTTATTATTTATTTATTTATTTTTTTTGTAACTTATCTCAGTTTATTTCTTTGTTTTGCTTCGCTTTTTTTTTGTAATTTTTCATTTTATTTATACATATTTTTCAAAATTTTTTTGTAATACTTTAATCGGACTACTTAACAACGCATTCAAGATGATATTTCCGCATTTATTTATTATTTAGTAGACTTGTGGCGGCCTCCTCTGTGCCGTTATCTTCCTCTTTTTGGGTAAATTTGCGCACATTTTGGCAGCGGCACTCAAAAGTCAACAAATTACTCGTACGCACACACTCGAGATAATTGAAATTAGCGTCTGTGACAGCCTGATTGCCAGCTGAGATCTCCAGAGGGAAGAGCTGAACCCGAACCTTTTGGAGCCCAACGTCGAGCAACGAAGCAAGGCAAGACGATTCGCCCACTCGACCCGCAAAAGCCAAAACCACAGCCAAAGCCAAACCCAAATTGAGTGGGTTTCTTGGACAAGGCAGCACATGAGGAAACTCGCAGATGGGTTGGGACTCATGTGGAGCCCAGGAGAAGAGGTCCGTCCGTCTGTCTGTGTGTATGTCTGTCTGTTTGTCTGCTGTGCGTATAACGCATGCTCATCTAACTCTGCAGATTGTATAATACTGGAAAGAAAAAATATTTATATATATATATTGCATATAGGGATATGATAATGAGCAGGAAATGGATTCGAGTGTGTGAAATTTATGTACAGGAGTGTCGTCTTCTGCGCCATCGTCCAACCCCTTCTAGTTGGCCAACGTGAATGATGATTATAATTAAAAATCCGTCTGACTGTGTGTGTTTTTGATAATGAATTTATGCCTCAATTATTCACTTGATATATGACGACGATTAAAATCGTGTTTTCATTGACTAAGACAAGAGCCAGTTAGCTCTTTTTTTGTATAATGCATAATATTATTCAATTGTGGAACATAACTTAAGGAACACTCAAATATTCAAATGAATAGATAGACACATAAAGGAAAAAGTAAACGAACATAATTCTGACATGTTTATTAAGAGAATGTGTCAAGGTTTTTTTTCTAGCCTTTTGATTTACTCTACCAAAAAAAAAAAAAAAGTTTTATTTATTTGTTGTTCATTTCAAATGTGATTGGAGAACTTTGTGAGCAGCGATACAAATATTTCGAGACTCTTATGCATATGAACGTATTGTACTGTTTTCAATAACTGGTTATAGACTGGAGCTTACGTATGAGTGCCTTAAAGAAATTCGCGGTAGAGTCCAAGTAGAGACTACAGAGAGCACAGTCAGTAAAGAGCACAGCTAGTATAGATGCTTGGAAAAAGTACAGACTAGGCGCAGGAACACAGATGGGGCTACCCTTAATGTTAAGTTAATGCGAGGTAGCTCCTGGTTCCGTGGTTGAAGGCAGACCTAGAAGAGGAATTTTTAGTCGGTAATGACGGTGCATAAAGCATTTTGAACTGCTTCTCAGTTGTACAATATATATATTATATACACGTATATGTATTAATAAAAGTTTTAAAATTAAAATTAATCAAACAACTGAATAATATGAAAGAGAATGCTACATATTATTTTAAAATTTATAAAATTTTAAGAGGTAAAGACATAAAGCTTTATAGATTTATTCATTTCAATGAGCTTCAATGAGAGCTCAAAACATACAAAAGAAATTATTAAACAGCAAAATATAAATGGCACAAAAGTATATACAATATAAAAATATAAAGTAAAAAAAAGAAAATAAATAAATAAAAAAATA